CAGGCCAGATACGACGCCGTTTCCGACGGCCGGAATGATCCACCTGGGTACTGGTGTCATGAAAATAAATGCTGTTGCAGATAGAAAAAGAAGAAACGAATTTAATATTATTTGTAGCAGAAAAATTAATCATTTCCTTCAAAAATATGGCAATATCAAAGACAGTAAGTGTTTATGAAAACAGATGTTTAGTTTTTATTCCTAAAAACAAACATTTTAGTTGATTGCAAACATGTAAGTCATGATATTATGAAGAATTTAAATATTCCAAAAACTGAACTTTATAATCTACTTAAATTTATTCGAAATACAATGAATGTATTGTCATTAAATATAAATAAAGAAAATATTATTCATGTTATTGGCAATATTTATAAAAATAATTATTTGCATGCTTAACATTAAATTAGTATATTCTTGTCAAATATCTTTATTCTAAATATTTTTATTTTTTGAAACAGGGTTGATAATAACATAAACAATCAATATCGACAATTATTTGATGTTCATCTTTGATTAATTAATAAGATCAACGAAAAAAACAATAACGATCTTTTATTTTTAAACATACTCATGAATATTCTTATGCATTCAAAATCTTATGCATGTATTTTCTTGTTAAAAAAAAAACAAATTTCTATCACATGCAGATAAATAAAAAAATACGTTTCCTTCATAGTTTTTTTTTTCCTTTGATTGAGAAAGTGTTCAGACATTGACTTAAAAAAAATTGCTAAAATCAATTAAATTGAATAAAAGAAAAATGTTATTAGTTACTACAAATAGTAAGAGAAAAAAGTCAATTGGAGACTGAATAGAATCATTGATTTGTATTATACTTTCTATTTGAATGAACAATATGAATCAACAAAATCTAAAGAATTCATCTATTAGTTTTGCTTTAATACATTCATTTTCTCGTCGACAAATGGTATAATCATTTGAACAAAAAAAAAAAAAGTTCAATTAAAATGAATAATGTTTTTTCTAGACAATAATGAATTTATATTTTGATTCATTTAAATCGCGTGAACCATAAAAACCAACATCAACTGTAACAAATCCACGTTGTAATCATTGTGGAATATATTATTGTCAAATTGATTTTATATTTTCATAGTTATCATGTTATAGTAATTCAAATGATTAACAATATATGTTGTCGATCAACATATACAAGAAATTATTTCAAAGTAAATTTTTCTTTTAATTTTTTGTTTTTATAATAAATAGAATAAAATTTGAACGTTTACCATTATCAGATTCTCTGAATGTTTTTGAACAACGTTTATTTCATTGGTATAATTCAATGAAAACCAAAATTAGAATTATTTGTACATGTTTTACCAATAACACGATCACCATTAAAAGTTGAATGAACTATAACACCTGGTTTTCAATGGGATGATAAAATTCATGGAATGACAGAAGTAAGTTTGGATTTATAGGAAAGAAAAAAAACATGTTTCTTTTTTCTGTTTTTAGTCTTTCTGGATATTAGTTAAAGATGTCGATTCAGAAATTTTACTTCATCATGAATATTTTCTTCTCAAAAAGTAAGTTTTGTAGTTTTAATATTAAAGCGGATACAGTAGAATGATTCATATTCCTAAGCAAAGGTCTATCCGAGATTTATCTGGACCTATCTATTATTAGTCGCATGAATATTTATTTAAAGAACATCGGAAAGATGAGAGTATAAAAAAGATTCATAGTAAATTTTATCAACAGACATTTCATGAAAATACGAAAGTTACCTTTTCGGTAGTTAGAATAATATAGAATTTACTTTCTTATAGCTAATTAAATAAATCAAAAGATTATATTTGGACTTATCAGCCTAGTGTAAAAGACATCAGTAAAAAAATTTTTCATAGCTCAAATCTGTTGTGTAAGTTTTCTCTCGAGGTATAGTCGTAAATCTTAGGAATAGACCTCAAGTTATATAAACAAAACAAAGCAAACTACATGATTATTGATTTTTAATTACAGAAAATGTTGTGAAGATGAACATTATGCAAAATTTTTTGTTCCTGTATTTGAAACATTACCACCACAATATTTTATTCGTGTTATATCGGAAATATAGAAACAGGGGTGACGCGAGTCAACCAACATTGGGGGGGTGTAGCGAAATTTTTTGGACTAGAAAGACGAAGTCTGCAATTTTTCGGGGGGTGTAACATTGTTTTTGGTGACAAATGGAAGAAAATTTCCTGATTTTGTTGAGCAAAAAAACAGAAATTTTTGAAGATTTGGGGGGGGGGGGGGTGTCGCACCCCCGACTACCCCCCGGTCGCGCCACCCCTGTTGAAAACACTAAATTATAATAAGTTAAAAGGACATTATCCTCCAAAGAATAATCAACACAAAAGGAATATATCAACAGTAAAGTCCAACATGGGAAATACATGTGAATAAAGAAAAAAACAACTGTGACACATATACTATACAAATGTTAAATCACGAAAGAGGATGTGTGATGAGTATAGTGCCGATAGATTCCTAGCATGATTTGACAACACAAGTTAGCGAGCCAACAAATAAAACACTTTTCCAAATAATCAAAGAATATGCTAGTAACATTTTTGTTCAATTACTGCATTCAGAAGTATCAATACATCAGTAGTATTCTAAGCTAAAACAGGAAGACGTATATATACATCGCCAGTCGCCCAAGGGTTGACGAAAATAATTTCTTTAAAAAAATGATCTCCCATATAAATAAAACAATGTCTCGTTTTTTCCTTCTAAAACTTTTGTTTCTTTTGTCTAAATAAAATAAAGAGAAGAAAATGTTTCGAAAATATCTTCAACCATCAATTTATATATCACTTAGCATTGTATATTTCTTAAAAGATAGAGCATGTCGAAATGCTCGTTGTAATTTAATGTAGTTGTAGTTTTAAAGTCTAAAGGTTCAAGATAGAAACATTTTTTCTTTCGGAAATCCATTTTTAAGTTGCCTCCATTTCGTGCACAATCAACACACTATACTATCATATAAAGGAATGCAAGTGTGCATCGAACTGGGAGTAATCCATGTACGCACACACCTCTTTTTCTTTATTTTACTTAATAATTGGGAATTAACAAATTGAAACGACTAAAAAATAAATTGCCCTCACTCACACTCTACATGTTATTCATAATTTGAAAATGTTGTCACTAGAAGCTATATCAATCTCAGCACTGATGCCTATACTGATCAAGTAGAGTGAGTTGAAGTTAACACAAAGAAGACATTTCAATAAATATCGTAATGATTCTATGATAGTAATTAAATTAACTTCTGGAAACACAAAACAGCAGACAACATGAATAGGCTAACTGTACAAGTATTTCATTCGACTTGCTTTTTTTTCACTGCACCTAATCGATATATATATATATGTTCAGATTTTATTCTGGTACATCCATACATTACTAGAATAAACAAATCGTCAAATATAATTTTTTCGAATCCTATTAAACGAATGACAAAAAGGAATTCCAAAGCAGATATATGCAGGATTACATTATCCTACTCTATCTTGCAAGGTAGAGTGACGAAAAGCTTAGAAAATTCTCTTCAATTACAGTACGAAGTACGAAAAGCTTGCTCTCCATACCTCTGCTGTGATACGATTTATGCTATTTATCGCTTTTAGAGTCTTCAATTAGGATGGTATTACGGAACGTGAGATAAAATGTAGTAGGATAAGGTAATGGCAGTCAATCAGATGAGGACTCATTTTAACGAATAAAAGTGTACACTTGATATGCTGAAACGATAATAAAAAAACACCGTCCTCACATTCGCTTTGTTTTATTTTAGAAACTTTCAAAGCGCATCTGCAACAAGTGAAAACAGGGTTTTTGATTGATTCTGTGTGACCTGGTAGATGCTGTAGACGTTAAGATAACAATAAGGCAAAGTTTCCCAATTGGGTACTGGGTCCAAGAAAAGCTAATCCTGCACCTCTGCTGAAAATATCACCCTCATCAAAATTATACAATGGCTGAAAAAAGCTGCTCAAACAACATATGAACAATTACAAACATTAGCATCTTGCCTTGCTCATTAATGAACTTATCCTTGCATTTAACTGTAAGAAAAAAAAAATTAGAAAAACTCTCAAAATTGGCAAGCTAAAGCAAACCATCGCCACTGGATACCCATAAGAAACTATGCTGATCTGAACATAATAGTTTCGGATAGACAAAACTATCTGCGAAAACTCTGCTAAGTGCCTTCCAAAAAATACTAACTGCTTGCAGTTTCAAAAGCAATCGACGTTCTGAAAGAGAAGCGAAATGAGTTTTTCCAGATCAGATCATTTGATAAGAATATATTCTTATACCTTACATAAATTCTTACTATAATATTCTCATGTGATCTGGCCCTTCCTTACGATCTGGTATGATCTTATTGAGAAATAATATATCTTATCCAGCAGTACTATGTTATATAATCGTATAATGTGACTTGATGCAGTTATTTGAGGCGCACTATGTTTCACCGGTCTTAGTTTTAATTTTTTACCATGATACAATATCAGCCAACGAATTTCGAATTTATGATCATCTATTCATTGGATCGAATTTTTACATCTGGAAGTGTTCAAGGAATCAATTTTTTGGAAAATTATTCTCATCGCATGAAACTTAAAGAGAAAATCATTTCAGTCAGTTGAAGATAGGGCGAATATGTTACGATCTCGGTGTCTATATCACAAGTAATTATCATACCGACAAGGATGTACATCTGTAGCGTAAAGTATTCAACACAATAAGATTAAAAAAAGAAAAATTTCCTGAATTAAAACTTTGATATGTGTAATTTAGTGTCATATGTGCCTGTATAGATGTGATATTCTTTGTGATATAATTTTTCTTGTTCCACATATTACTTTTAATATTAACTTTGTTTCTATTTGTTTCCTATAAAAAAAAGTGATACCAAAATAATTCGTCTAATGCTCAGAAATAATCTAATGAATCTCGTTTTTATTTATTATTTAAAACCATACAATAAGTCCATAACCATCTTTCTCCACAACAATGCGTGGTTTTTTATTAAGCGGTAAAGCGAGAATGTTGTTTCGTAGTTGTTTAATGAATAAATACTGTTGTGGATGTGTTACGTCAAAATTGTAAATGTTTTGATAATATTTCCGTCGAAAAGAGAAGCAAAAATCAGAGACCATTGATGCCGTCTCTGCCAAGATTTGGCAACTTATATCATCTGGTGGAATAACCATACCATATAAAAGTATACGTAACGAATTCAAGAACGGTATAGTTGAGAGAGTTCTCAAATCAGCCCAATCATTTCTTGCAAGATGAAGATGTTCATAATTAAGAGTAATTTGAATAGATCGAATATATCTTGAATAAGACCAATTATTCAATGAATCAAAACTGTCTGTAAGAATAAGATGATCAAAAATTGTTAAATTTGAAGATATCTGTTCATCACATTGTGATAAATGAAGTTCAACTACGTGGTTTGAAGACATTATGTGAGGCAATAAAGTAGTTAATGATGGAATATTATCTGCTATATTCAGTTTAAGAAGATGTGAACGACCAACTTTATTAAATGGAGAAGCCGATGTAAAGACTTCTAATTCACTAATATATTTATCTGGAATACATAGTTGAAAAAACTCTTCGAAAATCCACGGTAAAGTATAGAATAAATGTAGTCGATATTTAGGTTTTTTGAACTAAAAGAAAGATCAATTAGATGGATTCAAAGAATATTTTATCATCGATGTGACTTGTAATCTATCTAGATTGATAACTTACGTAAATTTCCTTATGAGTCATGAATGTTTCATCAGCAGGCCAATATTCAGAAATAAATGTAGCACTTGCTATTTGACGACGATGAGACAAACTACCACGTGGTACATGTTGATTAAGTTCGCAATGTTGTCGATTATCATGAATAATAAAAGCATAATGAACATTAATATGACGATCATCATTAAAGAGAGGTGAATTAGTCATTTGATCGAGATCATTAACATCAATAACAAGAGAAAAATTCATTCGTCGTAACATAGGCATTACATTATAAGTTGTTAATACATTAACAAATGACCATTCCTCAGATGAATGCCATTTAAATGATTTAGCAAAGGTAAACGTATGTAAAGATTCCATTCGAGGTAAAATATTTTTATCAAATGAAGAAAAACTTCTATAACCACAAAAATCTGGCATTTTTATATGTAGTTGTTTTAATGTATGAGATAACGGGTTTGTTGAGAGTATATCAATCACATCAAGTGTCCGAGCAATCGAAATTTTTAGATAGATTAACGGTGTTTGTATCGTTTTGAAAGGCCACTTATGTAAGTAAAAAGATGTTTCCATTCCTAAATCAAGTGATTGAAGGGTAGGTAGATAACAAAGAATTTTTTCGAGAAATTCTTTTAAGTTCCATAATGGATAAGCTATTTTTTTTGTCATACCAACCTTTAAATAACAAAATATATTAGAAAAACATCTATATAATAGTAATTGAGAATTAAAATATTCTCCCTGATTATCCAAACATCTTGGTAAAAGAAATATTTCCTATCAAGAATAGAATCCTTTATGAGAACATTCGCCATATAATGTTTATATGTAGAAAGAGGAGAGAAAATTTTTATAAAAAAGTTCTAATCAATATAGTCAAGGAACTAAAAATTAACTATTATGTCAAAAGTTATATATTTATGCATATTGCAAATACTCATTTCTCTAGAGTTAAAATACTATTCGAGACTTGAATATAATTGATTGGTTTAATTCTAAGTCAAGTTTAATATAATTATTAGTCAAATCTTATTTTCTTAGATATCTTAGACAGCAAAACACGTTAATATAACGGGTGATGCAAAAGTTTTTGCACAAATGTCGGTTCATTTTTCATCGGCTAAAGCATGTGTGGATAAACTCGAAAGTACTCGTACACAATCTACGTCGAAAGCTCTTTCTAAATGTATGTTCAAAAAAGTTCAATCATGTCTTGTCTTTCAGTAGGGAACACATCTTTAAACAGCATTAAAATATGGTCTGTAAAATGAAACGAATACCAAAGAAGGTCCCGTTCCCACAGTATTTTGCGATTTCTTTCGGTTCATTTCATGAGATGGTGTTTATCTTTTTTGTATCAGATTACCGTCTCTATTCTCAACAAATCATGTGGAAAATACTATGGAATTCTTTGAGATAACATCGAGAGAATTCCCTCTCGAATCTCTAGCCATTTTCAGATTGGTGTTGGTATTGTTTTGTTCGCTGTTTGATTTTGTCATTTCTAGTCATTGGCTCAGACATATTCATAGAGCGAGTATCTCGGGCCATTTATAGCCATCATTTCAACTAGTTTTATCAAAAATGGCGCCATTCGAATCTCGAAAACTTTTATCGGCTCATCATCGTTTTCACATTCAGTTTTGACGTTATATCTTACATCATTGTTTGTTAAATTTTCAATCACACTATCTAACGTGACACCATATGGTTTTCTATTAAGTTTTTGTAGCGAATTGAACGGCGCATATAAACCGAAAAAAGAGCTGCACCATACTGTCGATCGCATTGAACGGAATAGAAAAAGTATTGAAAGATTCGTTTTTTCCGTGCTCACTACTTTGAACTGTTTTTACAGACCACATTTTAGTGCTGTTTAAAGATGTGCTTCCTATTGAAAGGTAAGACATGATAGAACTTTTTTGAACATACATTTAGAAAGAGCTTTCGACGTAGATTGTGTACAAGTACTTTCGAGTTTATCCGCACATGCTTTAGTCGATGAAAAATGAACCGACATTTGTACAAGAACTTTTGCATCACCCATTAGTTTGTAGAATGGTAACTTATGGAATTATTTGATAGCAAAATTTTATATATCGCTATACAAAAAAAACAACAACTGGTGAGCAACATTGTTTATACTATTTAGAGTTTTGTTTATTTTCTTGTATATTATTTTCTTCATTATGACTGAAATGACTTCTAATAGTACTTACTGTACGAAAATATCCACTTGATTGAACTGTAAGATGAGACAATGTATTTCCATGTTTTCTTGCAAATTTGAAAACATCCCTAAAATTGCGTACACCTTGTAATCGTAATGTTGTTAAATTTGGTAAATGAGGCCATCTTCGCAGTTGAAGAGGTGATGCACAACGATCAATGAGGAGTGATTCTATTTCATTTAATTGAAGTATAGATAGAATTGTTTCGAAATGTTTTCTTCGAGTGGATGATAAATTAACATGACGATAAAAACCTCGTTCTTTTAATAATGTTGTCAAACGAGAGTTGAGATTAGAGAATGACCAGAGAGCATCACCACAACATAAATAAGAAAATATTTCGAGTAATATTAAATCAGGTAAATCATTGAACAAACTGATCATTATTATTATTTTAATGATAACGATCAATTTTGTATCTCTTTCATAATTGCTGATCTAATGCTATAATATCGATGGTCATTTTCTTTTTTTATTGTCCATTGTTCTCTACAGCCGACGGCAACAATTGTTGAACGTATTGCTTATTCTTTATTGTATGAAGAGAATAAGATGAATTATAGAACTGAAAAAAGTATAATGCTCACAATTGACACTAATCTAACATGAAATATTCTGTACAAACTTTCTCTCAGATATCATCCAATGAGAGTATTAAAAAAAATTTTTTTCAGGTAAAACTATCAAAATCTAGTGTATCTTCTTGTTAAAGTTAAAAAATACAAAAATAATTTTTATATCGATAACTCTTACATCATTAATTATCAAGTTGTATTATGATTAATTGTTGAAATTTACGCAATTTTGACTACATCGGATATATATCTAACAAAAATATTTTATTTTTCAAAATCCAAACTCTATCGAAAATCAGTACTGAAATGCCTTAACATGGAGCGCAACAAACCATATACTAAACTATATAAAAATGACGTGTATATCTAAAATCTTTTAGTTTTATATTTTATGTTAAATATACATCAGTTATGAGAATAGAAAGGACAGTAAATGATTTGTATGAGTCATAGCATAATTATTTTAGATATCAATACTGAACTTTCTAATGCATGAATAATTGAAATTATATAGAATATATTGAACGAAAAATTTTGCCATTAGACTAAAATGAAATACGCAAGAAACAAATTTATTTTCCAAAGAAAAATGATAGACTGAATACATCATTCAATTACAATTGGTCATAAAAAAAGACAAGAAAAGAGAGCATATACATACACATTGAATTTTATTATAATTAATACTTCTAAAAAATTTCTCTCAAGTTTTTTCTCATCAGATATTTCGCAGTTAGAGACCTGCACGGAGTCAGTTTCGGAGTCGTGGTCGGAGTCGAATAAAACTGTTGCGAATAATTCATTTTTAATATTAAACTTTTTTGGAGCTGTAGGCTTTGTTCTCTGATCTTTTCTCTACAAACTGATGTATTTTCAAGATCCAATTGACATCTTATCGAGGCCTACGAATCAAAAAGAAAGTCGGAGTCAACCGTGACTCCGATTTTTCTTGACTCCGACTTTCTTTTTGATTCGTAGGCCTCGATAAGATGTCAATTGAATCTTGAAAATACATTAGTTTGTAGAGAAAATATCAGAGAACAAAACCTACAACTCCAAAAAAGTTTAATGTTAAAAATGAATTATTCGTAACAGTTTTATTCGACTTCGACCACGACTCCGAAACTGACTCCGTGCAGGTCTCTATTCGCAGTACAATTGCTCAACAAATAAATATCCTACAGTTATTCATTCATTCATTCAAATAAATCTTGTTCATGTATTGCAGCACTAATTCTAGCTAGAGATTTCAAACTTTTGAAAGTTAAAGTTCTTTATTATATATATATAATAAAAATGTTAGCCTTTAAATCTAAGAAGAAAAATTGTCTATAAGTACAATTCTATGAATAATTGAATATTAATTAATAAGAAATAATAATCATAAGAAGAAAATATTTCTTCTAAAATCAATATTAGAATGGGTTTTTCATGCACATTTAATGACTTCTTAAAAATCATTTACTAATATAATTATAATAATCATTGACTAATAGAGAAAAATAAAAGCAGAACAAGAATAATAATGATAAGTTCATTTTTATTTTAGCATACAAATAATCCTTTTCTAATAAAGATTAATTGCAATATTTTTTATATTCATATTAAAAAACAAAAGAGTAATCGCTGACTCTCTTTTGAAAAGGTTTCTATCTCATTGAATTTTGATAAAATATTTATAAGAATCTTTTATTTTTAATTAAATAAACCATATACATATATATTTACTATTATTTTTTTGTTTAAAATAATTTGAATAATATGAAAAGACATGTAACGTGTCGGCTATTGGATCTCGCCTGACTCAATCCTCAAAGCAGAGGACAGTGGCAATAGGATAGTACTCTCAAAAATCAAATTATGCTCTGAATCGGCTGATCATTTTTGAATTCTTCTTATTGTAGTCGGTCACTTGAAGAAAATCAGTGGTTAATCTAGAATTTTTTCATCGAGACCGCTTCCAAGAGAATATGAGGGTTATTCTTATTCTAAATTGTGTCTTGAAGCTCTTTTTTTCGCCCAGAGACGACTGTCTCAATGCCTCTTTCCAAAAATGTACTGCTGAAGAGAACATCAAACACGTCCTCGAAAACATCTTTGACTCTAGGACACCGAAGGAACTCCTTGTTGGCCATCGGTGCTTCTTCGAAGTGCTACTCTCGACTCGTCACGTCTGTTTACCTTCGTATCATTCTTTGATAAACTATTTACTTTAGCACTGTATGAAGTTTCTTGAGTTGAATTCTGCCCAAGAAATAGTATTTGAACTTGAAATAGAATCTTCCTGCTTTCTTTGTGAAAACAATGCAAACACAAGAATCCTAGACACAAAAAAGCTTGTTGTGTTAATTTTTCATCTTCGACCACTTGTGATAAAGTCTCATTCTGAAATAAAGTAGATTTTGATGAGTTGAAAATTTTGAGAATATCCTAGTTCTCCAAACGATTATTTTTCTTTCTTGCTCGTTTACTGCTTTCTCAATAGTTTATCAATTGAAAATAAGCAAGAATGAATATGATTGTCCACGAAATATTATTTATATTTATTTTAAAGCAAAAAAATAAAAAACAAAGACGAAAATAATTTTATAAAATTTATTTTTTTAACTTTTGCTAGATAAGTTTTCATGTAATAAATCAAATATCAACTATAGAAGTTTGAAAAAATTAATAAATATTGAAAAAAAAATCTCATTAATGTTTCTTTTGATTATATTTTTGCTTCGATACAATAATATTTTAACGTATGAATTAGTTTTTAAAATATTGGAATATTTTACAAAAGTTAATTGTATTTTGATTTCGATAATCATTTGGTACCGTCCATTATATAAAGATAAATTTCCAAGGATTCTTTTAAAAACTTCTTTCAGAAGGATACATTATTCTACTTGACATAGTTGTCGGTTTTTAATTGAAAATCAGTTGTTCATTCATCTTTTTGTATTATTTTTATATAATCTCAGTTTATGAAATTTTTTAAAGGGTGCTTTTTCGCTATAAAATTTGTTTTTTTTTGTTACTTAAACTTTTCTTCAACGTGAAATTACGTTACAGAAGTAGGATCAAACGAGTTTTATACCAAACTAACACTCGTTAAAAACGGACTTTATCAATATTAAATAGCAAGATTTATGGCAACTTTATAATGTCCAATTTAATAGAGAGATATGAACATACAATAATTTACAATATATGAATGTTTGTTTTTAGGTTGATGAAATTATAAGAAAAATGGATTTTTCTTTTAGAATTCCTTTATCAAAGTAATTCTGTTCTACCTGTGATAGTTATTCTCTCGGACTTCATTTTTGATTATTGTTGCAATGTTCTCAGATAAGATATCTACTATTTTTGTGAAATTCACATTGAAAACTTACCATAAATCTTACTACTCAGTATTGTTCAATCTCGTATTCAATACATTTTAATTTTGTATAAATTGTATTATTGATGTTATTTAAAATCACAGTGTTATCCTTCGAAAAAGTATTTTTACGCATTCGGTATGTAGTTCGTAACATATTATACAAATAATTCATCATTCAAATTATTAAAAAAACACACAGTTTTGAATATTACAACAATACATAATTCAGTAAAATAAACGATATTTAAAGTTAAAATAATTGTTTGACAACAAACTGCATAGATATGATTTAGTCAAATATTCAAAGGTAAAATCTTTATCTTCATAACTGAATTTTTAATAGTTTAATAATTATCTTTGGAAGAAAAGGTATTTGCAATAAAAATGAATCCACGATATAAAGATATGTTTTTTTTTGAGAAAATCGAAAAGAAAATACTTAGAGCAATTCAAAAGTAGTGTTGCCATTACCAAATTTCCCTACGGAATGCTTGAAGAATTTTTCTTTTTTTACATAATGATAGAGAAAACGATGCTCTATTTTTCTGTGCTATCTGATTAATCTTCAACTAATATTATAATAATAAAATTCTGATAAGAACTGTTTTTGTGTAAAACTTCACTAACGGGTGAGGCAAATTAATATGTTTTGCATTTGAATTTTCAATCACTTAATGCATTGTATTGAAAAACAAAATATACCAAAAGATGCAACGTGAAAAGCTCTACAATTTTTAAGGAATAGTTTATTTTATATATGAAATAAGAAAAAAATCATTTTTTTCGGGCCAGCGAAAATTGATTGCATAGAATTTTCGTTTTGTTTGAAAACAAGGAGTACACAATTAAAATAAGCTTTACTTTGTAGATTGTAGAGCTTTTCACGCTGTATCTTGTGATGTATTTTGGTTTTTTTTTAAATAAAAGATATTAGGTGATAAAAAGATGAAGTAAGAAAAAAATGAATTGATCTTCTACCAAAAAATATCATTTCCACGCGGTCGAAAATTGGTCGCTCAAAATTTCGTGGGTGTGGGTGAAGAGAAGACAAACACCTACACCCACACCCTATTCTCTAAAGAATGTTCACCAATGTAGATATGAGCAAAAATAGAAACTATGCTGCTAAAATTATAAATTCTTTCAATATAAAGAACTTGATTAAGTATAGTTAAAATGTTAGGCTATTCTTTAATATGAACTTTATCTAAATGTTTTTTTTTATTATATATATCATTAGACGATAGAAACTAGCAGAAAAAGTTCTTTCGACAGAAAAGCTTTTATGATTCAGACACCTTGAAACATGAGATGTCTAATTCGAGTCATAATATAAATGCATAGATTTATATCAGTTATTATGAAAGTGATAAATGGCAAAGACTTTACTGTGAAGTAAGACATAGAATATTAGTTTCTTTTTCTATTTATCATTATATAAAAATCACAAAAAAGACGAAGACTTTCATATCGGCGAGGTGGCGGGTAATCATTAGACTCGAAAACACCTACAGTCACATTGACATGAATCTTAATTAATATTATTCAACTGCTCAAACTTACTTTTATCTAGTATTTCTAATTGAGTAGAGGATGTGGATGTAGGTATGGGTGCTACAGGGTTTCCGTTTCACCCGTATCTCACACCCACCCTCGACAAAAGAGATATAAGGATCTGTTCTAGTGCGACAAGATCAGATTTTTTTCAAACCAATATACAGAGTTTTTAATGAAAAACACATCAGCGTTATGAAGACACACCAATAATATGACAGAGACACAAATTAAATTCGTGATCCAAATTTAATGAGCAATTAATCACCTTAATCGGATAACCAAAATCTATTCAAATCGATGATATTGTCAATAAAAATTTCATGTCTCTCTTTCTCTGTCATGTTCATTGTGTTTTATGATGATACTAGATCATATTTAAATCTTGTAATTAAAATCGAAAAAAATAAAATATTTTATATCGAGCTGACTGAATCTTTCTATTTGCTTGAAAAATCGTATTTCTATAAAAAAAAAAATACTAAAATGTTTCGATTTTAGTCCTATATTTTTAAGAATATGATCAATGTAAGAACCTTGATTGATACTATTGATAACGAATCTAAAAGAGAAGTAAGATGGATAGAGAGCGACAATGATAATCGTCGTTTCTTTCAGGTTTTCTACAATAGTTATACAGTGTTGGAAAAATATAAAGATACAAGTTCAATTTTACATCTTCACTATAAGGATTCTCTGGACTCGCCTCTTACTCATACAAAATCATATCTAAAAAGAAAAAGAAGAAGCATCTCGGGTTCAATATGTATACTTGTAAACGACCGTCTACGGAGTGATTCAAACGCAGGACGACAAATTTTGAGTGCATATACACCTGCTAACAACCGTACACATTCTGTATTTCACCGTTTACGATTATATTTTACTGTATCACGTAGCTCAGTATTACACAGGTATATCTCTTTGATCGTATGCGGAGCTGTAAGATTGTAGTACAACTCATCTACAGCTTATACTATTGATATCGTTTCATTAACAATGAACAGAAAGGAATAAATAAAAATTGTTTAGTTTTGAGGATGTAAATATTAACTTGATTTTTACTTGTTCACTGTTCTTTACGAAATGGATGATTGCACGACTACTAGAGGAGAGTTGAACAACTTTTCGATCGGTGACAAAAATGAATATTTTAAGCGGAATTGAATCGTTCAGGTCAAAAATGCCCTGTCTTAAAAGAGTAACTTAGATGAATGAAACAACACATAAAAAATGAAAATCCATAGAAAAAATCTAAGTTTTCATAGAAAAAATGACTAATAACAAAATGTTTGAATCATGTGTCTATGAGAAAAATACTTCAGTTAAAGTTTACTTATATATATGCATTCTCAGCAGAAAAATGAAATCCATAGGAGACATGTGACTTTTCATAGGAAAAATGTCAAGATGATTTTTCCGATGAGAAAAATGCTTGGGTTTATTTTCACTTATTCTCATGCTTCATGAGATGAAAAAGTAAAATGCATGGTAAATGACTGATTCTCCTTAGAAAAAGGGATCAGTAGAAATGAAGTAATTATTGAAGTCAAAAGAAAGACTGTTCGCTTTATCGTTGTATCGTGCATTTGATAAAATGAAGGTTTAGCATTAAAGCATTTTGCTATCGGAAGAGAAAAAAAGAAAGTTTCTGATTTTAGTTGTAACTGAGAGGCAAAAGATTGCGTCGAAGGAGATGGAGAAAGAATTTTGAAACAAGAATATATCGGTGCGCAGGTGGAAGTTAATCTCGTGTCTCTTTCTCTCTCATACTTATTTGGTATATAAGTTAATGAATATCTTGTAGCGGTTGACGAATCAAGAAAAACGAGTTCAATGAACCGATCAGCTTTCGATCATTTCTTCACTGTTCGCTTCGCGACACAGTAATACAGGAAGAAAGTAAATGATTTTGTTTCGGATTTCTTTGGAAAAATTAGTATTTTCCTCTGTATTTCAGTTCGGAAAGAATCATATGTATAATTCCATCACAGTACTGTGATGATGAACCAGATTCGTTTTTTTTCTTCAGGATTACTTCAGTTCTCAGATATCACATTTCTGTAAGATCTTCGTTTCTCTCTTTATCCTGTATGAATATATAAACATTAACATTCATATGTCTAAAGAGACATTTCTCGTCTTTTTCTATCATTTTTCGTATTAGCGAAAAGCACTTTTCTACACTACAAAAGCATTTTTCCGTCACATTCATGCAATTTTTCGCTGGAATTTCATCTTTCTGACAAGAATGCAGTAGCGGATCCAGTGTTCGGTGAACCGGCGATCGCCGTCCCCTCGCGAATTTTTTTTTCCATTTTTCTCCAGCACAAAATGCAAAAAAAGAGTTGTACTGGCTCGAACAGGCTTCGAAAACCGTTATTTGACTATGATCGCCGTCCCCTCCGGCAAACCGCCACCTCCTCACTGATTTTCCGAATCCGCCTCTGTGAGAATGTATGCATATATGTAAATACGTTGTTCTCTCTCTTACACATACTTAATTTTATTTTATAGAATCTAACTTTTCAAATGTCTTTGATGTGTTATACAGATATGTAGAGTAATATAAGAAAGAAGAGAAAAGAAAAAAAAGAAAAGATAATAACAGCAAGGATGAACGAGAGAAAAAATCGACAGAAAAGAGATCAAGAGCAGGATCATGATGAATCATTGCTTACATACGTTTAACTTGAAAGTATTTTTCTAGTGTTATATAGCATTATTCTGATTGATACGAACATTCTTTTGCTGTCCTCGTTTATTTTTCTGCCAGATTCATGCATTATTCCGCTGGGTTTTCATTTTTCCTAAGGGAACATATATGTATATATGTAAATATGAATAGCTGGAAAAGATTTTTCTGCTATTATATAGCATTTTTCTCACTGAGAGGAATCATTGTCCCGCTGCTCTTACGCATTTTCCACTGCATTCATGCATTTTTCCGCTCGCTT